AAAAAAAACCAGAAAGTCCAGTTGCCTCTTGAAAAAAGCCCCCTTGGGACAACTGAACTGATCCCGATTGATCTGAATTGATTATTAAATAGGCACTTTATTTAGGAAACACACACGACCCTTCCCTATTAATACGTTATCATAAATACAGGGGTGTCTCATCAAACCTGCTGCCCTGGTTCATCAATCAAAAGCCTAACAAAATGCAATTTTTGGAAATAGGCAGGACAAGGAGAGGCAATACGTACTCAGCTGATTTCCAGAAGTGTCCCGGGTGAGAGAGCCTCCGGTTAAGCTTTGGCAATTTTTCAAGCATTTCCATCAAGAGGGTGAAGCTGGGCCGCTCATCCACATCAAAAGCCCAACATGCCGAGAGGATTTCCTACAAGACAACAATCATCCTTTTTAAATATTAAAAAAAAAAGATTACCCCATAGCATCCTTGGAAAAGAAAGTCATTTGATTACGAAGAGCCCAAATTGTAGAAGGTTTAAAACATAGCCTGGGTTAATTGCAAGCTGCCCCAAAAAAGAGGCACTACAACATTTATAAACCTTTGTGGCAATGTATTCTCCAAAGCACCCGAGGGCAGGACAAGAAGCAACGGATGGAAAATTAATCAAGGAGAGAAGCAACTTAGAACTAAGGAGAAATTTCCTGATAGTGAGAACCATTAATCAGTGGAACAACTTGCCTCCAAAGATTGTGGATGCTCCAACACTGGAAGTTTTTAAGAAAATGTTGGACAATCCTTTGTCTGAAACGGGATAGGGTTTCCTGCCTGAGCAGGGGGTTGGACTAGAAGACCTCCAAGGTCCCTTCCAACTCTGTTATTCTATTCTGTTCTGTTCTGTAGTCCAAACTGTCAGTTTGAAGATGGCGACTTCTAAGAGCTGCTTTTAACCAGCCTGACTTGGAAGGAATTGCAAAGCCACAAGTTAGACCTCGAGATTTATAGATTCAACAGCTGCAGATCTCTGGCTCAGTTCATGTCTACAAACGAAGGCATTAATTAAGAAGAGACTGGACAGCCACTTGTCTGGAATGGGATAGGGTTTCCTACTTGAGCAGGGGGCTGGACTAGAAGGCCTCCAGGGTCCCTTCCAACCCTGTTGTTCTATTACTAATTGGATACAGAAAACAGGGCCCCCAATTCCGCACAGGAATCAAACATACTGCATCTCTTCTTGCATCTCCTGTAAAACCTCTCAGCTGCTGCAGGGGATAGTCAATTGACATGATCCCCTACAAGGGGAAGGGGAAGTTCAGATACCTGGGAAACTGAGTGGGATGGAAAAGGAGAACCCATGGCTAGTCCTCAACTTACAGAGCCTGGAATTTTTGTTGTAAGTCATGATGGTTGTAAATTGAGGCACCTACATCATCATCTTCTTTTAACGATCCCATAATCCCTGGTGAAATCTGGGCAACTGAATGGAAATAGCAGCGTGTTTTACTGGCCGGATGCCTTTCCTGTTGCCAACGCGGAGTTTTGTTCAGCAGATATATTCTCAGTGTGCCGAGAGAGAGAAATATCTGGAATTGAGGTACCTACATGACTGATCTGAATTTAGATTTTTTTTTTGCAGCAGCAGCCATTAGGTGAGTACGGCAGTCATAAAACAAGCACGATGTTTAAGTGAACATGGCAGTCGTTAAACAAGTCAATGCATTCCTATGAGATTTTTTTTTTTTGCATGAAACCAGACTTTGTCTTAATCACATCACATGACTGCAGAATACAGCAACTGGTCATAACGGCGAGCCAGTTGCAATGCACCTGAAAATGTAAGTCATGTTACCATGGGGGAGTGGCACTGTTGGAACTCCGGAACTGGGTCATAAATACTTTGGGGGAGGGGTCTATTGTAACTTCCACTGGTTGCTAAGTGATCGTTTAAGTGAGGACTACCAGTATGGCTAATTATTTTGAAGAGGATCGAGTACAATGGACGCCATCTTGAGCTCTCAAGTGAAACGAAATTAACAAAAAGGAGGCATACTTGAGTGCCCAAGGAAAAAGCTCCAGGGGGGGATTGAGAACTTAAATTTAAGCCCCACCTGATCCATGAGACAAGGGCAGAATATATGAATGGGAAACGTATCCTTCCTCTCTGTTGCCCCAGGCAGCACCTAGTCCCAAGATTCCTGGATCCAACTCTGGGTCGTTGAGGTTTGGCCAGGAGGGCAGAAGCCATATCTACTTACCCCAACTTCTTTCCCCAGGCTACTCGTTTGCAGGACGTGCTTCATTCCTTCACCACTTCCGATCTGCCAAATCAAGGCCTCCGCTGGCTGACTCTGAAAGGGCCACTCTCTGGCCTGGAGCTCATACCACACGGTCCTGAGAAGCAAAGCAGTTCCAAGATGAAGGTCTGTAATATTGACAGTCATGTCACCAAATATTCATTCATTCATTCATTCACTCACTCTGACTCATTCATTTACTTTTTCATTCATTCACTCACTCATTCATTCATTCACTCACTCACTCACGCTGACTCAATCATTCACTCATTCATTCACTCATTCACCCACTCATTCATTCAATGGCTCATTATTCACTCATTCATTCACTCCATTCATTCATTCACACACTCTGACTCATTCATTCACTCACTCATTCATTCATTCACTCACTCTGACTCATTCATTCATTCACTCACTCTCATTCATTCACTCTTTCAGTCATTTACTCACTCACTTAATCATTTACTCACTCACTCGGTCACCCATTCATTCATTCATTCATTCACTCTCATTCATTCATTCTCTCATTCATTCATTCTCTCATTCATTCATTTACCCACTCGGTCACTCACTCATTCATTCATTCATTCATTCATTCACTCACTCACTTACTCACTCATTTACTCACTCACTCGGTCACTCACTCACTCATTCATTCACTCTCATTCATTCATTCACTCACTCACTCAATTTACTCACTCACTCACTCGGTCATTCATTCATTCATTCATTCATTCATTCATTCAGGCTGTAGACAAAAATGCCAATTTGAACATCTGGCTAACTATGTGACAAACTATAATTTTTCTTAAAAAACACTTAAGTTAGAGAAGATTGCTGTACAGGTAGTCCTTGATTTACAACCTCAATGGAGCCCAAAATTTCTGTTAAGTGAAACATTTGCTAAGTGAGCTTTGTCCCGTTTTAAGACTTTTCTTGCCACAGTTGTTAAGCGAATCACTGCAGTTGATAGGTTAGTAACCTGGTTGTTAAGTGAATCCGGCTTCCCCATTGACTTTGCTCGTCAGAAGGCCGCAAAAGAGGATCACGTGACCTTGGGACACAGCAACGGTTATAAACACCAACCATTTACCACACATCTGAATTTTGACCACCTGACCCTGAAGCTGCTGCAAAGGTCGTAATTATGAAAAAGCGTCCTAGGTCACATTTTTCAGAGCTGTTGTAACTTTGAACAGTCCCTGAATGAAGTGTTGTAAGTCAAGGACTACCTGTGCTATGATTGGGACTGTGCTTGGAGAGAAAAAAAAACTATTTTTTTTCTTTTGTCAGAAGAGTTGAAGTTTCCCAGAACAGCAATTTTCAAATGTCATGACTTTTGAATGAAATGTAATTTTGAAATGTAATTAATTTTCACAAGATATAAAACATAAAAATAAGTGAATGCAGGTTAACACTCACACCCACGTATGCAAATATTTCACCAGATTTTTTGAAAACATGTTAGCTACCGTTCTCAACCGTTTTCAACGCTTAATTGCATCGCCTATCACTGCTAAGTAAAAGTGAAAATCCGGTGGCCGCAGCAACAACACAGAAGCAGCCCTGTGGGGGCTGCACTGAAGCAGCCACAGCTTCCCCAAATCTCAGTCCCTCGGGAATCATAGGTCCTCGTATTTTGCACGCACCACCCTCCAGGCCTTCCGCATAGCCCTTAAAACCTGGCTGTTCCAACAAGCCTGGGGCTAAAGACTTGCAGCCCCACTTCGAATGGTATGATTGTTGTGTTTTTAGCTGTGTATGATCTTTATGTTTTGTGACTTTGTTTGTTTCCCCCCCCCCCCCTTGAATTGTGAGCCGCCCTGAGTCCCTCTCAGGGAAAAGGGCGGCATACAAATAAAGTAAATTCAATTCAATTCAAATTCAAATTAATTGAGCTCATTTGAGGTACTTCTTCTAACTCAACTAAATCAGCTAGTGGTACCTGAACACATTTGTAAGTGGATCACAAGCTTCCTAACAGACAGGAGGCAGCAAAATCACATCAGATACCTGCACAATTAGCACAGGAGCCTCCCAGGGCTGTGTGCTCTCTCCACTTCTCTCTCTATACCAATGACTGCATCTCAAGCGATCCCTCTGTTAAAGTACTGAAGTTTGCAGATGATACAACAGTGTTGGTATCATCGTTCGAGACAACGACAAATCTGCATACAGATGGGAGGTTGAACCACTAGCTTTGTGGTGTGACCGGAACAATCTGGAACTGGACACACTCAAAACAATAGAAATGGTGGTAGACTTTAGGAGAAACCCTCCCATACTACCACCTCTTACAATACTAGACAACACAGTATCAACAGCAGAGACCTTCAAATTTCTAGGTTCTAAAAATGTCATCAAAAAAGCACAACAAAGAATGTTCCTTCTGGGCCAACTCAGGAATTCAAACTGCCCAATGAGCTGCTGATTCTGTTCTACAAAGGAATCATTGAGTCTGTCATCTGCACCTCCATAACTGTCTGGTTTGGTTCTGCAACCCAACAAGACAGAAACAGACTTCAACGGATAATTAGAACTGCAGAAGAAACAATTGCTACCAACCTGCCTTCCATTGAGGACCTGTACACTGCACAAGTCAAAAAGAGGGCTGTGAAAATATTTATAGACCCCTCACATCCTGGACATAAATTGTTTCAACTTCTACTCTCAAAACGACGTTATAGATAACTACACACCAGAACAACTAGACACAAAGACTGTTTTTCCCCGAATGCCATCATTCTGCTAAACAAATAATTCCCTCACCACTGTCAAACTATTCACTAAGGCTGCATTACTATTAATCTTCTCATCGTTCCTATCAACCATCTCCTCCCACTTCTGACTGCATGACTGTGACTTTGTTGCTTGCATCCTTACGATTTATATCAATATTGATCGTTCCCCGATTGCTTATTTGTACCCCGTGACTATCATTAAGTGTTGTGCCTTATGATTCTTGACGAATGTATTTTGTCTTTTATGTACACTGAAAGCATCTGCACCAAAGACAAATTCCTTGTGTGTCCAATCACTCTTGGCCGATAAAGAATTCTATTTCTATTCTATTCTACTTGGTTCACAACTGTTGCCCTACAATGTACAACATGACCCAGTTAAAGTCATGACAATGAGAGTGTTAGTAGTACATTGATTATTTGGGAGGGGGAAAAACCTAATCTTCCTGCTTTACAATAGCAATAGCACTTAGACTTATATAGTGCTTCACAGTACTTTGCAACCAGAGGTGATTTTCACATAATTTTACCACGGGTTCGCCGCATACTGAAAATGTGAGCGTGCACACTCGCTTGCTACAATCACGCATCTTCCACAGATGCGTGCGGCCTCCCATGCATGCACTCTGCTTGTGCATGCAGCTTGCATGCATGCACACATCTTAGAAAACATCCCACCTGCAGTTCTCCATTACCAGTTTGCCCGAAAGGGTCCAAGCTGGCTGAATAACACCACTGTTTGCAACTCTCTCTAAGCCAGGCCTGTGAACTCCTGGCCCACAGACGAACGTGTCACGCACTGGCCACGGCCACGCCCAGTTTAGTAAGAGGGGGGGAAGTCCCAATACATCACGTGACGCCACCGTGAGAATGTGAGTTTGACACCCTTGCTCTAAGCAGTTTACAGAGTCAGCATATTGCCACCAATAATCTGGCTCCTCATTTTGCCCACCTTGGAAAGATGGAAGGCTGAGTCAACCTTGAGGTGGTCAGGATTTGAACTGCTGGTAAGAGTTTGTCTGCAATGCTGCATTCTAACGAGTGCGCCACCTGGTGGTACAGTTGTTAGAATTCATGATTACATACAACACAGTATGATTTTTCCACTGTGATATGGGGTACCATCAAGGCACTGACTATTTCTCCACATTCCCTAGCCAAGTTAAAAAAAAAGGGCTATTTGGGGTTTTCAGATTGTCCCCCATCCAGGTGCTAACCACTTCCAGACCTGCTTAGCTTTCTCCAGATGTCTTTCATTTTTCTAGAAAGGCAGGATATTTTGGCTGACCTTGACAAGAAGCTCCTGCTATGACCTTTCATTATTCTTACCCAAAAGCGTAGACATCCGCAGCTTTGGAGAAGGGCAGCTTATCTTCACCTTTCCCGGGAGCCATCTCGCGCACAATCTCGGGAGCCAGGTAGCACAGCCAATCATGAGGCAGCTTCAGTTCATTTTCACGCCTGATGTCAGAAAGAAAGAGATTAAAGCAGGAATGGGTTGCAGGCAGGGCTGGCTGAATTCAGGTGGACCTGAACCAAATCAGCCAAGACTCTGATTCCCAAATATATAACTGATCCACCAACAAATGATTCTTTACTTCTCAACCTCAGCAGCTTTAAGATGTTTGGACTTCAACTCCCAGAATTCCCCAACCAGCCACACGTCTTAAAGGGGGTGACATGATAGCAGTCAGCCTATTTTCCCAAGCACCGGAAGGCAGGACAAGAAGCAATGGAGGGAAACTAATCCATGGCACAACAAAACCGCGCTCCACTAAAGCGCGCCCGATTAAACCGCGTCGCTGATGTCATCAGCAGGGCGACAACAGTGACCGCGGAGAAAAAGGGTGCTTTAAATAGCGCTTTGAAAGCAAGCCGATTCAAGTTAAGGTAAGGGTTAGGTTTAGGGTTAGGTTTAGGGTTAGGTTTAGGGTTNTGAGGAGAAACTTCCTGGCATTGAGAACAATTACTCAATGGAACAACTTGCCTCCAGAAATTGTGAATGCCCCAACACTGAAAGTTTTTAAGAAGATGTTGGATAATCATTTGTCTAAATTTGAGTAGGGTTTCCTGCCTAAGGGGGGGGGGGACTAGAAGATCTCCAAGGTCTCTTCTAATGCAACCCACAAAGTGGGTCTTATAACCATTACTTGGCCAAGGAAAGGAAAGTTTTTAAAAAATCCAAATAAACTTTCCAATATTCTGCTTTCCTTCCCCCGTGGGGAAATATAAATATTTCTCCTGTGAAATATTTATAAAACTATTCATAGAAGTCAGAGCAGTTTTCTCAAGGACATAATTATCCACAGAGACATACATAGCCTAGGACTCTCTCTTAAGGAGAGCCTTAACATGCACATTGGTTTTTAAGTGAAGTCTTCCATCTAGTGGTTGATTTTAATAAGCTGGGGAGGATTTCCCCCCAAAAAAGTTCCACATTTTCTTTCTAATAGATGACAGGACAATGAGAAAATGTTGCTAGTTCCTCTCCCACGTTGTCTGAGAGGTCCAGCATGTTAGATTTAAATCAGGGTTTAGTTTTGCACAACTACCTAACTTGTCCCTGATCTTAAATATTTCAAATTACACATTCTGTGGGTTTGAGTAGTGCATTAAAGCATAAAATAATCCAGATGGAATCACCTTTCACATTAAGCCACCTCCAAGCCACAAACCCTAAGCAAGGTTAGTGCTAACCAGGCTGGGTCTGTTGTATGAATGAGAGCTCAAGGTCCTGCAGAAATACAAATGTGTTAGGCAAGATGGGGTCATTTGTAATTCAGCCTTCCTGGGAATTCTGGAATTGTCTCCACTTGTTTTCTGAATGGCAATAAATTGTAATGTGTGTATTGCTTTTACAGGTAGCACATGGATTAACAGATTACCAGAGTTGGAAGGGACCTTGTAGGTCATCCAGTCCAATCCCCGCTCAAGCAGGAGACCCTACACTATTTCTGACAGATGGCAGTCCAGTCTCTTCTTGTAAGCCTCCAGTGATGAAGCTCCCACAACTTCTGACAACATAGCAATAATAATAATATAGCAATAACAGTAGACTTATATACCGCTTCATAGGCCTTTCAGGCCTCTCTAAGCGGTTTACAGAGTCAGCATATTGCCCCNTCTATTTATATATATGGGTATATAGATTCGGCAACTTTTTACAGCCTCTTTGTGGTGCATCTCAGATTGCACCCAAATAGGTGAAAAGCAGGGCCAAAGAAAAGCTAAAATGGTACGTAATAAAGATTACATGTAGCCAAGGTTATTGCTCTTTAGTCATGCATTTAACCATGTTCCTTTCCAATTATGTGAAAAATTACACCTGGGTATTTAAAAAAAACCTTTTGGAGAGTTTACACAGCCACAACTAAACTTTTCAGGAAGTAAGTGGTGTCTTCAGATTGCCCACTTCTATTTTATTTAAATTATAACCATGACTTCTTCATTTGTAACTCTACTTAGGACATATGTATCATTTCTGCAGGTGAAAATTATCCATGGAAAGGGTGAAAGAAATGGAGGGTTTCATCATGTGGTGACTCCCTTCTTGACTTTTTTGACATTCCTGTTGAACCTGAGTTTTCTTGTTTAGTGACTGTTTCATTTTCAGTGACAAGTTACCTGGTTGTCACATCGTTCCTTCAATCACTTATCTTTCCAACCCACATTAGATGTACCTGGGCTCAATTTTTACAATACAGCCATACATGGTGGATTAACACATTTCCCTTGGCCATAATAAAGTTTTTATAGATTTTGGTTAATGTGTTGTGTGAACCCAGTCAATTCTGACTGCTTTTACAAATCTGGCTTAAACAAACTATAGCTTAATTCCATGTACAAAGTATGTGATTTATTCAACAAACACTTGTTAAACAATGATTTAATTTAAATATGAGCCAGCTGCGTGCAGCAGCTGCCAAAAAAGCCAACACAGTTCTAGGCTGCAATAACAGAGGGATAGAATCAAGATCGTGTAAAGTGTTAATACCACTTTATAAGGCCTTGGTAAGGCCACACCTGGAATACAGCATCCAGACTCTAGAAAGAGTGCAGAGAAGAGCAACAAAGAGGATTAGAGGACTGGAGGCTAAAATATATGAAGAATGTTTGCAGGAACCGGGTGTGTCTAGTTTAATGAAAAGAAGGACTAGGGGTGACATGATAATACTGTTCTGATATCTCAAGGGCTGCCCCAAAGAAGAGGGAGTCAAGCTATTCTCCAAAACACCTGAGGGTAGGACAACAAGCAATGGGTGGAAACTAATAAACGAGAGAAGCAACTTAGAACTGAGGAGAAACTTCCTGGCATTGAGAACAATTACTCAATGGAACAACTTGCCTCCAGAAATTGTGAATGCCCCAACACTGAAAGTTTTTAAGAAGATGTTGGATAATCATTTGTCTGAAATGGTA